ATACTCATTAATTTTACACTAATTCTCAAAATAATTTTAAAAAAAACTTTCTTCCAATCTTCATCCAACGTCTCTTCTTCCTGGTCTCAGGTTTTGTCAGTCCTTCTTGTCCATTCCATCTAGTCCATCAACCTGGTGATCTTATGTCCAAGGCTCTTAAGTCTTTTCCATGTCCCTTCTGCAGATCTTCTTCTTGTTTATACCTGCACTTTACTTTGTCTTTTGTTAATCTTTTTCTTAATTTCTTTCCTTTCTCATTTAGGAGGTAGGTCTCGGGAGGACTCCAATCCAAAAATATCTCCATCTCCCCTCAACAGATCAGCCCATTCCCCACAGTCCCATTCCCCACAGTCAACACTGTAATCCAGGAAGTATTTAAAAGCATGTTTCAACGTCCTTCCAAAATTAAGAGCCCTCACAACTCCAAACCCCCCCTGGTCTACTCCAGATTCAAACTTCAAGAACAGCGGCTTATGCTCCTGCAAGGCCTCGGGTCTCTCCATTTGTGTTACTTGAGGTTCAACAACAACCTCCTCCATTATCTTCTGCACTTGCACTTGCCCTGTCAAAACAGGTTCCTGGGCTGGTTCCTGAATGGTTTCTACACGAGTATTCGCCGCTTGTCCAAAGTTTTTAACTGCAACAGTCATCAAATCCATCTTCTCATGCATCTGCTCCAGCAAAGCGCTTGTCTTGCAAAAAGCAAGCACCAAAACTTCTTGTAAACACATTTTTATTCAAGGTCAGAGTCTGGTCCCACGATCCTAATCTTCACAGCTGTGAGGTCCCCAGATCGACTCCAGCAACAATTTAACAAGCTCCCTCTAGAGGAGACAATTTCTATTTGTATCCATCTTTTGAGAGCAGGACCAACAAAGGAAAATTACTTTCATTTTTCAAATATTTTGTTTCTTTTGAATGGAAGAGGCAACATTGGAATCAATTTGTTTCTCTTTTTTAACTATCTGTCAAAAGACGTTCCATTCACAGTCGATGAACTTCCCCATAAATTTCTGTCTCTGACACCCCGTTCCCAGGTTTGAGACGGTGGAAATTTGTCTTTCTTTACTCTCTCTCCTGCAGGCTTAAACAGTCAAAAATTCCCCCCCTTTTCTCCTGCTTCCAAGAGGGGTTTTGGTGGTAATAACTGAAGGAAATTTAGACCTTTATATACGACTTTCCAGACTTCAGCTTGCAAAGTTTTTGCTTCAATCTATTTACAAAAACGGGAGGCGGACTTCCTGTTTAGAGCCTTCCCGCTTCAGTGCCAAATTAAAATATTTCTTAATCCAATTTTCCGTTCTACTCACGGGTACTTGTTTAGAGTCCAATTGTCCACAGGAAAAAGTCAGCGCTCTCCAGCAACGGCTGTGCGGCTTCACTCCGTAAAAGTAGCGGTTGATTCAAAACACCGCGCCACTCACCCCACGTCGCTTCCGATCCCCGAAAAAGGATTTCCCTGCAAGTAGGGGAGGTGCTCCTGGTGTCAGCTGAATCCCACGTTCCCAGGCTTCCTCTGCCTGGGATTTTTAAAGGGTCTCCGCCTTTGCCGCGGCGGCAAGACCCGATTTTCACAGAGTGGGTTCCCCTCAGTCAGAGGAACTCCGCCATTGCCGATGGCGCTAACCCGGAAGTCGCCTTACTCTGCTTTCGGTTTTATCTTGGGGCTCCATCAGCTGGGGCTCTCCTCATGCTATAGAGCTAGGCTCCTTCAGGAGCTTGCTTTTATGTTATATATATAAAAAACACATTTTTGTTATATTTGCAGTAAAAACAGAAGAGGAAAACAGGCTTGCTTTTATACACCTGGCTATCTGCAGTTGATTAAATGAAATGGCCTTCCTTTGAAAATAGGGTGTGACTGAATCAGCTGCACCAAACGCCACTGAGTGGAAATTTAAGTGGGTATTTAATCGTAGACTATTAGAGTTGGAAGGCACCCCAAGGGTCATCGAGTTCAACACCCCGCAATGCAGGAATCTCCATTAAAGCATCCATGCCAACTGGCCATCCAACCCTCTGCTTAAAACCTCAAGCGAAGGAGAGTCCACTAGCTTCCGAGAGAGTCCAAATGACTCTTCTCAGAATGGTGATTTTTATTGAAAAGCTTGCACTGAGTTTGAACTGAAAGCTAGACCTACGCTCTTTGTTTATAAGCTGACTTCTGAGTAGTGCCGGTGTAGATTAGTTTGTATTTCGTTTCCAAAACTGGGTCTAGTATAGGTTGAAGTTTAATGCGTCTCTCAAGGCGTCACAGCTACAGCAAAGCTGAGGGAGGGAAAAACTAAGTTTCCACAGGATTACCCCTCTGGGATTTGGTTCCTGGCATGCGATGCCCTTGCTGTGCCTTTGCTTCAGCTTCAGCCGATAATTAATAATTTAAATAAATGGGTAGTACTTAGCTTCTCCTTGCACAGGTGCTCAATTCACCTGTCTGCTTAGCTGTTTACCTTGATGAGCTGTTACTGTGCTCCCTTCATGCTTTTATATACTCTGCTTGCATATTTGTAAATAAATCAAATATTACAAAGAAGACATAAATCTCCCAGTGCTCTCTCAACCAAAGGAAAACGATTTCTGTGGCACTGCCCCTGGAATTTTTTGCTGCTTGGAAGCAGGCAGCATGTAATAATATGCTCGAAACCAAATGGATGCAAGTAAATGGCCTGTGTGATCTTCTGCCAAATGGCTCTGCAGAGCTGACGGCCCACATTCTACTATTTTAGTTTCTACTGAGGATTTCTATCCTTGATTGTCAGGACTTGTGAGCTTTCTTGGTGTGTAAATTGCATCACAGATTGACTGGTGTTTCTTCCACTGCTACACCAAAGTACTTTCAACCCAGAGATCCGTTCCTTTATGGTTTCCCAACAGTACAGGGTTGTGACATAATCACAGACATGGGGAATGATTATACATGTTGCACCTCCTTGTTTGTGATATAGGGGCCAGCTCCTAGGGGCCAAGTTCCCTTTGGCCCCCACAATAAAATATATGTGGGGGACAGCCCCCCACCAAGTTGATGGGCATTGCCATTCAAATGGTGTGTGTGTGTGTGTGTGTCTGTCTGTCTGTCGCGTCTTATAGCAGTTTATGGGTGCCCTTGCACTCCCAAACTCTGTTACTGCAGATCTGTAACAGTGTATTATGGGAAATATTTGTTCAGGGTGTTGAAATCTGAAGAAGGGAAAAGGCATGGGGCAACTCTTAAGGATTAGTTTTCCAGCAGCACTGAGGCAACAATATAAACAAAGCCCTCTAATTATTTTATGTAGCAATTACACCATGCCATTGATAGCAGTGGATCAGATACTTTCTTCTCACGCTTACTTAATTGCTCCCCAGCAAGAGCCAGAGAGGTTATCAGAGTCTTAAGAGACTTTGCATCTCTCCATGCTTGCACCATAGACACTTCACAAAAAGCAAAAATATAGATAGGTTGCCTAAGTAAAACCTGTCAAGTGTACATGGGGAAGTTCACCCTTTCAAATCAATATCCTCACCTCAGTGCTGGATTTACATATAAGCTAAACAAGCTATAGCTTAGGGTGCCACTCTCTTGGGGGCCACCAAAAAAAATTTAAAAAACAAAACACCTGGATGTACATTTCCAAAATATAAGATAAAAAACAAATAAAATAAAACCTACATACAGCAACAGTGGTTTGTGTTGTGTAGGCTCCTATTCGTTATGTGCAAATGGCTTTGGATATCTATTAGGTCCATAAATTACCATATAGCATATATTCAACACAAAAAACAGCGACTATTTGTTGTTGAGAAAGGACAGCTGGACATATAAAGGGCCCCATTACCTTCAGTAGCTTAGGGCCTCATCAAACCTAAATCCGTCTCACCTATATTCCTATCTCTCACTGCCCCTCCTGAAGGCAGAAGTGTGCAGAACAATGTTACATGCCAACCCCACAAAAGCTGGAGGTTTCTACACACTTCTTCATCCAGGCGAGCAAGAGGCGCAGTTCAAAGACAGCTTGTTGTGTATTAGCAGTGGATTTATACTGAACGTTCCACACATCGTTCTACTGGGGCTCCCTTAATGTTACTACATTATTGCTGTCTGGAGGGGCACCACTGGACTACAAAAGGGGTGGGTTTGGGGGAACCACACACCACATAATAACTGTGTTGTGAAAAGGTATAGGATTTCAGCAGCAAGTTCCTGGACATCCACTGATTAGAAATGAAGCAGTATGTCTGCCCCCAAACGGGATAAGGTATTATCACCCCCAAGACCTCCCTAAGAACAAATCATCATGAACGCACAATTAAAAGGAAATCTGGAGAGGCCCTATGAAGAAAGAAGCATTGCCTTTCTATCTCAATTCCTGCTGCTTGGCGAAGGATTTCCAGGCACATTTCCATGAGAATCATATAAAAGGTCAAAATCATACACTGGCCCTTTGCCAGGATCTCTCGCATTACACTGCTGGCATCTCAGTATGCCCAGAGCTCACAAGCCAATGCATATCGGACGCCAGTTCTGCAAAGAGTCTCTCTTTCTTCCTCTTCTTGTTACTCCTCCTCTGGACCACAACCCACTCTGGCTCCTAGCCAAACTCCTGATCTTAAGCTTTAGCCTGGGTGTCAGCTCAGATCAGCAAAAGTGATACACTCAGATGGGCTCCTGGTAATTCCACCTTCTGTGCCATCATCACAATCCCTTATGATCACAAGAAGTGACTTAAAGGCCTTCAAGTGGCATAAAGGGACACCAACTTATTTCTATTAGAGCGCCCTGACTTCCTTCTTCACCAAACATGCTGGACTTTTAAAAGGCAGGGTCCACTGTTACTCAAGCACTGCCTGCAGGGTAGTGTGGACATAAAGCAAGGGTGGGGGGCTGTTTTTCAGCCAGATGACCACATTCCCTGCTGCGCATGCAAACCTTCCAAGGGCCAGAGGCTAAAGTGGGAAAGCAGGTGAATTCTACTGTTGCACAGCACACTCACACACCCTTCACTATCAAGATACAGTACATAGAAATAGCTCAGTCAGTAGAGCATAAGACTCTTAATCTCAGGGTTGTGGGTTTGACCCCTATGTTGGGCAAAAGATTCCTGCATTGCAGGGGCTTGGACTGGTTGACCCTCGTGGTCCCTTGTAACTTTACGATTCTATGGTTCTGTGATCCTCCAACCAGACAAGCAAGGCAAATTAACAGAGTTCAAGGACAAATTCCAGGCAGGCAAAAACACTTGGAGTGGGGTGGGACATAGCGCCAGTGAGTGAGCAGTCTGGGAAGAGGGATCTGGCCTAGGGAGAGTACTGAGGGCCAGCTAGAGAGGTTGGGAGGGCAATATTTGCTCCCTGGGCCTGAGGTTCCTCACCCGCGATGCTAAAGAAACTGATAAATTATTTGCCACACAAAGTCAGCTGCCTCTACCCATTCGCTCCTTTGTTGTTATTGTCCTTTCCCTGTACATTTCAACCTCCTTGGCAGGGCCCACAGAGTCTCGCACTAGGGCTGCCTTTCTCCTTCTTGAACGGAGCTGTTGTTCTTTTAGCGCTTCATTTATTTACATTGTTATTCATGGGCCAAGGGAGCTCCTGTCCTGTATGACTGATCTGCATGCGCTTGCTGTTGCTATGGCAACCAGGTAGCCAAAGAACCTCATGGCTCGGTGCCCCCCCAAGCCACCCCACCATCACACACACACACAAACACACACACACACACACACCCTCTCTCACACACACACAAACACATACACAGCTCTAAATCTGCTATACTCTTTCACCCTGCCTAGCAAAGAAAAAAGAAAAATCCCTTCTCTCGCTCAGGACATATTGGCAGAAGCCCTGCTGTTTTCAAAGAAGTTTGACGGTGCCGGCAAATTGCAGGCCTCATGTCATAGCTGTAAATTTTGGATGGGGCCATCGGAGCAGCTCGCGCCCCACCAGCGCCTGTGCCGGCTTTGATTGTTCATTATGAAAGTGAGAACATAAGCCAAGCATGAGAGAATATAGAACGGGCTCGCGCTGCAAATCCCAGCACGACACTTGCACTGTCTTCCCCAAAGGTTTTCCAGCTTTCCAAGAAAGAAAGAGCGAGAGAAAGGAAGAAAGAGCAGGGTGGTTGGGGGGAAACGTTGATGTGTTTCATTTGGTGCTTTGTGAAAGGGGAGCTGGCAATCACAGGGCTCTAAGAAGTATCCCTTTCTACAAATTCTCTCTGGCTGGTCCTTTCAGCAAACTGCCAGCACAACGTTTTCCAAGATGCCCATTAGCGAGTGTCTTTCTCCGCTAACAGCTTCCCGCACGAGTAACTGCAAAGTTCAATTTGCTGAAATTATGGCGGCATCACTGATAAGAACCGTATTATAAGGCGCTCGCATGTGGAAAGCATTAACTTTTGACTTTGAACTTTTAAAATATGCATTGATTAGAATGGAACAGCTGAAAGCCTTGCAGGATTAGAGATAATAAGGCACACACACACACACACACACACACACACAGACCAAACCCTGCCTTAAAAAGAACTATCATCTAAATTATATTCAGATGATATCAGTTAGTGAATCTGTTCTCCTGTTGTATTAAAAAAAAATGTATTAGGGAATCTTTTCACCTGTTTCCTAAAAATGAAAAGAAAATTAAATTGGGACTATTTTATTTATCTGTTTATTATTTATTTTAGCATCCCATATGAATCCAGGACAGTTAGTAACAGGCCAAAGTTGTGCCAAAAACAGGTGAAGTCATGCCAAAGTCATTTTCAGTCTGCCACCTTGAATCAAAATTACACTTGGTGTCCAAACATTGATAGAGACTCCCCCACCCCCACCTTGGGACCATTGTGCCAAATGTGGTGACAATACTTTGGGAGGTGGCCACCACACCTGTGCCCAAACAATGGGTAGAGTCACACCCAAGTCATGTAGAGCATGAGACTCTTAATCTCAGGGTCATAGGTTTGAGCCCCACATTGGGCAAAAGATTCCTGCGTTGCAGGGTGTTGGACTAGATGACCCTCGTGGTCCCTTCCAACTCTACAATTCTATGTTTTGGTCCACCACCTTGATTAAAAATGGCAGCCAGCATCCAAACATTGAGGAAGACTGTTGGTCCCATGCCATATTTGATGGTGATATCTCAAGAGGCATCTATAGAGAACAAATGGACAGACTACTTTTTGAAATATATATAGTAGGTGGTGTTAATTATGTAGAGAAGAAACAAATAGAAGTCTATTGTCTGGATGGGATCTTACATACACGCACAAAGGATAAAAACTTAATTTATTGTAAGGAAGGGGAAATAATCATTGCTGCAGGGACCTATAATGAACAAGTCATGGCATTATCTCGCCAGCAAAGCTCAGGGATTGTCATTTACTCATGTTAGCAATAGCTGACAAAAGTGACAGCTGCATCCAGGTGATATTACCCATGTAATTTCTCACAGCCAAGTGCTCCTTGACAACTGTCATTTAACCTACTATTATCCATTACAGCTACACCGTTTGGATGGACAAGGGAGTCAGATGCTTTTTAATGTCTCCTGTAATTCATCCCCTCTATTGTACAGATTTACAAATCTTTCATAACAAATGTTCTTCTGAGAAGTGAAATAAATTGACTTTTGACATTTGCAAACCAAATGCAAATGTTCTTCTCCCTTAATGGTCTTTGAAAATGGCCCACTTTGATGTTTACCAGGGAAGTACAGTGAGTCACCAAATTCAAACTGGCTCTAAATGATTTGTAATCTATCCTGTAGATTATATACGCCCAGCAAAATGAACAGGGTAACTGAACATTTTGGAGCAAATGTAGCTAATGCCTACACAAATTACAATTCTAATTCAAGATTTTGGGATACCCATGTGATCTTGGCCTTGCCATAAGGTCTTTAAATCTCAGGATGGGATGAGGAAAGAGTATATGGCTGCCGCACATCTGCAGTGAGGTTTTTGTCTGAGGATCTTGCATCCTCTGCTGACAAGATGGTCAAATGTGATGCTGTTTTATATTGTCAGGCCATTGGTCCATCTAGTTCAGTCCTCACTGACAGGCAGAATCCCCCACAAAGTCTCCCCTAGCTGTACCTGGAGATGCCAAGAACTTTTGCATGCAAAGCAGATGTTCTACATCAGGGGTCAGCAAACTTTTTCAGCAGGGGGCCGGTTCACTGTCCCTCAGACCTTGTGGGGGGCTGGACTATATTTTTTTGGGGGGGTGAATTCCTATGCCCCACAAATAACCCAGAGATGCATTTTAAATAAAAGCACACATTCTACTCATGTAAAAACACACTGATTCCCAGACCGTCCACAGGCCAGATTTAGAAGGCGATGGGCCGGATCCGGCCGCCGGGCCTTAGCTTGCCTACCCATGTTCTACATCTAAGCTACAACCCTTTTTTCTCATCTTTCTTTTAAAGACACAGGATCGCCCTTGGCTTAGCTCAGTGTGGAATTCAAAAAAGACGAGAGAGGGGCAGCACAGCTGTGAGCTCCTATCTGGCAGCTCACACATTCATGTAGTCTATGTTTGGTTTACTGTATTGGATTAGCCAGTACCTCCTCACCAGCAAAACCACTGCTTTTCACTTACTCTTACTAAAAACCATTGACAAAAGTGGAGAAGCAATCAAGAAACTATCGCACTAAGTTAATGGCCCCTCTAAACATCCTATCTGTCATATGTTCATGATGATTTGTGCTCATTATTATATCAAGGTAGTTATACATCATCCTGCTTTCAATACTGTTAGCTTCTGCAGATATTTCAGGGAGGACAAACTACTGAAAATGGTCCACTAAAGCCCCCCTACTGCACTACAGACCAGGCGCAATGTTCGGCAACATAGTTAATGCAATAATAGTGCATTAGTGGTGGGTTTATGGGGGAACCATCCACATATTCAATTTTATTCTGTGACGCTTCCCCAAAGCTATTGCATTATTGCCAACTGGAAAGGTCTTCTTGTGCAATGAAAGTGGGACAAAACAATAAACTGGAAAAAAAAGGTTTAAAGAAATTCGGCAGGATGTTACAGGGCATGAGGTGGTTGTTAGCATTTCACTCCTCCGTTGCTGAATGTGTGATTGTTACATCACATGTCAGTGTTTACTTTCTAGGCTTGGAAAGTGTGAGAACGGAAGTCAGTCTTATCTCTCTTCCGCTGTCCTGTACTTTTGTACTTTTCTTTTTCTCTCTCTCTCTTGGAGAAGAAGTGAGACGACGCCATGATTGCTTTATCCTGTATACAGTGGTACCTCAGGTTACAGACACTTCAGGTTACAGATGCTTCAGATTACAGACTCTGCTAACCCAGAAATAGTACCTCAAGTTAAGAACTTTGCTTCAGGATGAGAACAGAAATCGCGTGGCAGCGGCGCAGTGGCAGCGGGAGGCCCCATTAGCTAAAGTGGTACCTCAGGTTAAGAACAGTTTCAGGTTAAGAACGGACCTCCGGAACAAATTAAGTTCTTAACCCGAGGTACCACTGTATATTGCTTAATCACTTAGAATGCACATACTCACGTTCCACTATCGTTTCCGCTATACTCTGCTGAGTGAGCGTGCACATGTCTTTTGATATGTGTCGCTGGTGCACACCAGGACTGATTTGTGAACGTCCCGGGCTGTGCTTCATCAGGAAGACACCCAGAGAGGTCTGTCTCATTCTGGAGGCTACGTGTGCCCCCAGGCGTGTTCCAACAGTGATTGTGCTTCAAAAGAACCTGGGAACACCCTGAAACATTTGCAGGCACAAATAAAATATGTGTCAACAACATCTGGAAGGCCAAAATTCCCCACACCTGGTGTAAAGTCTTTGTTACAGTAAACGTTTTTTATATAACTCATAAATATAACAAAATATAGTTTCAAACAGGAGCTTGTCAGGAAACATTTTGATGGCTTTAAGGTAAAGGTAAAGGTACCCCTGCCCGTACGGGCCAGTCATGTCCGACTCTAGGGTTGCGCGCTCATCTCGCTCAAGAGGCCGGAAGCCGGCGCCATCCAAAGACACTTCCTGGTCACGTGGCCAGCGTGACAAAGCTGCACTGGCGAGCCAGCACCAGTGCCGCACACGGAAAT